CCTCTCTCTTTCTCTCTCTCTCTCTTCATGAATGTTTTTCCTTGAAATTCCTTCTCAGTTTAGGTAGACGTCATATTTTGTCATATTTTGGTGAACGAAAATATGACAAAATGACAAAATAATGACATAACAAAATTGATTAATTCACCAAAAGTATAATAATATTATAATTTATATAATTTAATGTATGTTATAAAAATAAATTATATAATAATACTTTATGAATTTAAGTTGTATTTAAAAAAATATAATAATTGAATATATAGATAAATATTATCATGCTTTCAATTTATACAAATGTATATAATTTACATAATAATAATAATTATGTCAAAAATCATTGTTACAATCTACTTTGTAAGTCGTTAAATGATTCAAACGACATATGCCACGTTTATAGTTACGATTACTTGTAACTTGGACTTTAAGAAGTTCATTGACCTAATGTAAGGCGATCTCCTCTATTGTTCGATGCAAACAATACTGATCAAAATAAAATAGCGAAATAACTAACAGCTTTAAAAAGCAATAGATATATTTACCCAATACAATTTTTTTATTACTTCAATTCCTTTAATTATTCATTAATTTTTAATTATTTAATTATTTTTATAAATAAGTATTCGTCGAATCAAATCTTCACATTTGCCATTTCTTTTAAACATTAAAAAAAGTATATTTTATACAATCTATTTTTCTGATTGAATACAATAGAAGAGTAATCTAACTTTTCAAACTTGATTAAAAATAAAATATCTCGAGAAAGGAGTTAGAAAGCAGAATTGCATAAACGGTTTTACAACTCATACGATTTCTATTGTAAAATGCATCGAAATCGATTCGCTCTGTACGCCCTCAATTCTAGTTTCAATAGACGCGGAAGTTCTCGCTGTGTTAGAAACTATCGAGGGATAACTAAGAAATCAAAACGAAAAGATACATTATATTTGTGTATTCTTTTCCTGAACATATGAACGCGTAATTAGCGACTCGACGTCACTCGGTGCCTGACGTCGCCAGACTAAAGGTGAATAGAGCCAGTTTCTTCTGTTTCCTATTTTTAATTACGAAAGTGCGATTCGGCGAGGATTGGCGCGATCGGTGTGTCTTCAACGAACGATACGTATATAGTCGGCTTGGCCGCGTTCGATCGCAAATTTTGCAATGGGGAACGCGACACGAGTCGAGAATCATGAATAATAGAAGCTACGCTGCCCTAGGCCGAGCGCGAATCGATAAAATCGGCAGGGAACGTAACAGGTGAAGATCTCTTCGTCGTGGAAAACTCATGGAAAACGCATCAGTTCCGTGAAGCAACTCTTTCATACATACTAAAAAATATTCTTTAGACACGCAGTTTTCAGACGCAGTTTTTACATTATATAATATTATTACATGACTTTTATCTCTCTGCGTATCACGTTAGCCTCGATCCTTGATTCTTTACGAATTAACGAATTAATAATTTTCAATATTTATTTATGACGTATTATTTGACTCTCGAGTACAATGAAGAACTCGGCAAATTCCAAATTAAGCAAAAAAATAAAAGCAGAAAAATACTTTAATATTTAATTATGTATTAAGAATGCGATTATGAATGTCTATTTTTATAATTTTTATATTTACACTGAAAAAATTATGAATACTTACAAATCGCTCTAAATCTTATTTAAAAATAATACAAAAAAGTTTAGCGACTGGTTTAGAACCTGGATCAAAAATTTTTTCAATTATTTTTAAATAAAATCTAAAATAATTTATAATTTTTTCGTTATAAACAGAAACAACAGGTATAATATATTAAAAAAAAAAGAATGAATGTATTTTTACATTTAAAATTCTTCCTTGTTTTTGGAATTTTTATTAATTAATAAAATTAATAGAAGCTGATTGCTGAAATTGCTCGAGCCGTCTGGTAACATCAACTTCGAGCTTGCTTTATTGACTGTCCCATTCATGACAAATAAATTAAGTTCGGTTTGTGTATGTAACCTTCGTATCTGCAGGCACATCCTCGCGTAATTTCTCCCGAGTGAAAATAAAGTGTATGAGAGAAATTCGAGAATCTCTCTCTCTCTCTCTCTCTCTCTCTCTCTCTCTCTCTCTCTCTTCCGACTGATACACGATTCCGTTTACCGCGCACGTTTTCGACGTTAAGCTTGTAGTGATGCTTCGAGCAGTCAATTTTAGATACGATATTGATTCTAATTTTAGAATCCCGCTGTTGCGTCACAGTTATTTCCGACTGCGCTTTATGACTCTGGAGGTTTCTCTTTTTTTTCCCTCTCAAAACAACCGACGCGGCTAATGCGAAAAATATCGAAACTTGTCGCGAGCGGAAACCGCCGTGGATTTGATTCTCCTCAACGGCATCGCGTTTGCCTTATTCTTTAGCGGTCTATTTTCAAGATTATAACACGAGCGACTCCGTGTCTAAACAAATTTAAGCGGTCGTGCTCTGAAAATATTTCGGAGCGTCCGATCAGATTATTGTTGCGCAAGATCGCGACGTTACGTCTGTGAAACAACAGGAGGAATCGCGCAGATCGAAATTTAATATTAAACATTTTGAAACTTGCTTTATCTGATAGTTAAGAAAAATGAGTAACGTTCATTTCTACTAATATATCTATGAGTTTTAATCTCGATTAAGAGAAACATTCCATCTTTATCTTTCTCTCCTGAAATTCTTAAAATTAAAGGAAGATAAAAAGTAAATTAAACTGTAATTAAAGTTAATCTACGTCAATTAAGACCAGTATAAATAAATCATAATTATGATTGTGATATTATTTTTATTTAGAAATATCGACGTCCGAGATTAAAAATCTTAATGATTCTAAATTGGAGTCTGTTGCGCTTGATCCGTAAATATCCATATTAATATTTGTGGCCTTGAAAGCCAGCTGTGGACGATCGAAAGACATTGATGAGAATACGTTGTATCTCGCTAAAGACATTCTCGTATCGACAGTTATTAATTATCGGCGAAGAGGTTTATTTATGAATTTTCCCCGCGTGTCACCGCTTTCGCGATCGTGACGACGGATTGCTCTATTTCGGGACGTTTTTGTAGACTGGAATCGTAAGACGGCGTTAGTGCCAAAGAGTTAATTTCGTAGAGGAATATCCCATGTATATATGAAAATATATATTGAAAATCACGCGCATTGTCAGATAAAAAGTTAAATAAATAAAAACAGAAGTGCGAATGTATTTTAATATTTCAGCAGAGACGTGAGGGAGAAGAGAGACGGAGTTTTATACACGCTATTTACTAAATAGCAAATTCTTTTGCAGCCGTAGTCGTTGCATGCCGAAAATAGACGAGTTTTCTTTATATCTTTCGCGATCGCGTATATTGAAATATGTCAAACGTCTACGGCACCCCAATGTCGCTTTCCATTGGCAGTTTGCACTCGTGAAGACCGCGACGATTCTGCGTTTCACCATCGAAACACTTGGCTCCATCTGACGAACCACGTCCACGACTTCAGCAACGTCTCTTCAGGAACGCGTAGCTAAAGTTTCATCGATAAACCGTCTCTACGTTTTATCGTCGAGAGCGATTCTTGCTTAGAAAAAAAATCTATTCTTTCGAATATCTTTGCGAATCCAACATGATTAGCTGATGCAAAGATAACGACTTAATTCGAAGGTTTATTTTCTCTTCCTGCACTGGGCTGCACCAAAACTTTTTATCTCGCTTTTATCAAACTTCAAATATATATAGGTATATGTACAGTGTCAAC